CAATAACAATTGTACAACTTTCAAGTGAATTTAATTTTTTTGGTTGCTACAAAATGGTAAACATTTTTTATGTTCCTATAAGTTATAGCATACCATGGACAATGATGATCCATTCTCCTAACACATCGTTTACAAATTCTACAGTGACGTGCTTTAGGAGGCCTATATGTTTCGCATCTAGTACAAACAGTCCAACTGTCTCTTTCATCACATTCAATTTTCGTTTCTGGGTTATCTGTATGAATGTCAGAAAAGTCCATACGACTTTGAAGTAGTGGCACAACACCAGGATCACTGCAGACTGCCTTCAAATGTGACATTATCAGTAGTAATACAATAGTGTTGAAAGCCACTACATGAAAGGGACCCCATAAACTGTACATAATAATATACAAAAAAAGATTAATTATAAATCACTATACAGTTATTACAAGTGTTTTTTCTGAAGTTGCATTTCTAATTCCAGTAAAGGTGCAATAATGTAATAAAATGAAAAAAAACATTCCATTAATTTTATTTTACTATAAATATTACTTAAAAATTAAAATACACACATACATATTGGTATAAATTTATGTAGAATTCATTTCGTACAAAATAAATATAAAACTACGGATAAATATGATTACAGACACAAAAAATTGTTAAATGCACCTGTCTTGTAAACTATACAGGATAACCCAACGTACGACGACGTAATCTGCATAGAAGACAGCAACGTACGTAGCTATGATACACACGATCCCACAAGGGTCCTTTACGAACATTTTTGTTTATTTCATACTTTCTACTGGCAAATATATTACCTATCATCACAGACTATAACGATTTCATGTAATTTCGTTCTTCATTGAATTTACATTATAAGAATTCAATTCAATTTTTATGAGTTCCATTTAAGTTCAAGTCTTTTTATTCTACGATTGCACTGAAACACCAAGTCGGTATGTATTTACGAAAAAAAACTTGATTTGTTTCACTAAATAACGTTAAAACATTAACACAAATACCAAATATTCTGACCAATACTGATCACTATTGACTAGCCTAAACTGACCGCCATGATACTGCTGTCACTGAATAACCACGTGACACCCCCTACTTTAATACATACTTTCTCTCGTGATTAAAAATTTATATTTTACCTTCTTGATTAACATTATAATTTTCGATAATGAAATATCGGTTAATATAATAAACATACCTTAATAACGGTGAAATTTCTGTAGCAACTACTTAATCTCCTTATCGCCATAAAGTTTAAGCAACTAAGATGTTCATTTTTTTTTAACAATATTTTGTAATATAAAATACAATAATAAATATTAGGCAGCACAATTACAATAGTATCAAACAGCATAATAATTATATCGAGAAATTAATATCATCTTTAAGAAGTAATACTATTCCGCTTTCAATGTTATTTGGTTTAAATGGATATTTAGGTGGAAATATATGAACGTAGCACAGAATTATTTTTGTATAAATGTACAATAATGCATAATTAAACGAAAACTTTATTTACAGAACTACTCGCAAATAAAAGTAATAGCGATAATAGTAATAATTAATAATAATAATAATAATAATTAATAATAATAATAATAATAATTAATAATCGAATCAGTATGAATCGACCAACGATAACTATAACAAGTGAAAGAAAAGGATAGTAAAAGGCAGAAAGGTAGGAAGAAAATAATGGTAGTTGGCTACATCGGTGACTGTGATGGTGTAACAGTAGCAACAGCAGCTGAATAGACTTCAATAGTAGTAGTTAACGGTAGCTGTAGCAATAACTTGTATTTTGGACTTAATTCTCATGTACAGATTTAAGTTCTTTAATCTGCTTAATAAGGTACGCCTTCTCATCATTGAACTGTTCGTCCTCAGAACGATCAGTGTGGAAGCGCGTCAGGAATTCGATTAACTTCTCCTGGTTGCGCAATAATATGTCTAAGATTGGTTTCGGTTTATTTGGATTTGCGACGAACACCTAATAAAGTACAAACAAATATTTCTGATTCTTTTGTAAATCTGAGTGTTAACAATGATTATAAAATTACTCAAATATACCTTAAAAACATGGAACGCTTCAAATTGAATATTACGTGATTTTTCTTTGAGCATGTTCATCATCAATTTGAGATTATCTGGATTTGAAATATATCGTGTCATTACCTGAAATTTGAAGATTATAAAATTAACATGTTTCTTTAATAAATACTCATATATATTCGTTAAATAATTATTGAAGTTTATACATACGGTAAAATTATGTCTATCGAGTAAAAGTTCTCCTAGCAGTTTCAAACTCTGTCGTCGCGTAACATAGTTTTCTGAATTTAATAACCTTTGATAATGAGAGAAAACTTTATCGTAATTAATTTCTAAAAATTCAGCGCTCAGTATTTTATGCCTGGTAAGTAATTCCTAAAAATCAACGTACCGGATGCACCAAGAGTATGCTTTACTTTAAGTACGATATATCATGCGCTTATCATCGCTTACTTTGAACGTAGAAAACGCGTCGGAAGCTATGTCGAATGTTGACACTTCAACGTATCTGAAAAAATTGTAAAAGTCGTCCGAGTAGATCATGATTTTTGCCAAGGCCTCATATCTTGCACACTCTCTTAACATAGTGCCACAGTTTAAAGCAATGTCTTGGTGTTCATAACTGTAATTATTATAATTATGCATTATTACATAAAGTGGAATATATTATTTATGTTAATGAACTAGTATAACAAAAATGAAGGAAAAACATATGAATTTTAAATCTTGAAACAGGTAACATTAAAATAAATACTATTCACAAACTTACCCAGACATAAGAGTAAATAATATTTCTGGTTTAGTGCATATATATTCTACTGTTGGAGATCTGGTTCCAATTTGTCTCCGCAATATATTATTAAATACTTGAGCGACATCTTTTTTTCCCTATTGAAACATGTTACAATACAAGT